AATTATATATATTAAAAAAAAAAAAACAAGTTGTAATGTGACAAGCCGATAGAAAACAATAAGTTAGGATTTTTCTGGTGAAATCAAAGGCCCCCCCGCCAAGGAGGGAAGCGGCCAGGTGAACGAGGGTGAGAAGAAGCGACTCTCTCGCAGAACGACACGCTCGGTTCTGGGGGACGCGCGCTGATGCCTCCGCTTTTGAGAGCGGGGTGTGGCTACGTCAGAGCAAGCGAGCAATGGAAGGAAAGGGCGACGGTCCGCGATGGCAACGTGCAGAGGCTTTCCTGTGTATAGCAACAGTAGGCTTCATCGCTCCACCCCGCGCGTGCCCTCTTCCAAAAACATCCCGAAATTACTCTGCTACCCTGACACTGCGACTTCCAGGAACCTCCGTTCCCGGCCCAAAAGGAAAGCGTCTCTCAGCAGCTGGCCGAAAGCCGACCCTGTGCCGGGTTTTGCTCAGCCATTACTCGAAACAGCTCGGGGGAAGCTTTAAATCACACGGCGCTGAAAGCAGGGGTTTATTTATTTATTTTTCTTAGCCAAGTCCCCTGTTTCAGCGGGGTCACAACTCTGATCGTGCAACTGCTTCCAAGAACTTGCCGTGGCCCGAGCAAACTTGAAACTCCCACTGGTAATGGCAGTGCAAGGAATTAACTCAGAAAAAATCCAGGCCAATGCTCTCTCATATGTCTGCCAGCAAGTTACGCATACTAAATTCCGGGAATGTCTTCTGAATATTGTATATACTCTGGAATTAGAGGTCGTTGGGGTTGCTTAATTTATGATAGAAGAGCCAGCTTGGCGTGGTGTTACTTAGCGTGGTGCATCAGGCTAGAAACCATGAGACTGAGTTCTAGTCTTGCCTTGCCTTGTGCATGAAATCAGCTGAGTGGCCATGGACCTGTCACTCTCAGCCCTAGGAAGGAGGCAATGGCAAGCCACTTCTGAAATCTTGCCCAGAAAACTGCAGGGACTTGTCCAGGCAGTCGCTAGTAGTCAACACTGACTCAAGGTACAAAAAAAAACAAACCAAAAAAAAAAAAAAGAGAGAGAGACAAGCTTGGGGGAGGAAACCCATCTTGGTAACATAACTTTATTAGAATTCATTTTATAAAATAAGTCAGTATGAATATCTTCTTTATATAATAGGGTAAAATGATTATTAGGCTATCCAAATTGCCATAACATCCTGGTTAAGATTTCAGAGTGTACATCAAATAAAAGCAGCAAAGAGAAATGGAGGTAATGATGATAAAATCTTGAATTCTGCAGTTTTGTTGCTGTGAAAAATTGAGTAGAGAGTTAATGCAAAATGCAGTATTCTAACTGTAATCATAAATAAACACAATAGCTTAATGTATGGATAAGTAACTATCAGGTCCTAGCACTTGGTTGATCATATTTGGGCTCAGAAGCTAAGATGGATCAGGCCTGGTTACTAATTGGATGGGAGACACCAGTGAATAATGGACTCACAGCTTAGATTGGAAGATTGAAAATGTATTGTGAAAGAAGGCAATGGCAAGCCACTTCTATACTTTTTGCCAAAGAAAACTAAATTGATGTGTCCATGTGCATGAGCTTGATTCAAGGCATTTCTAACTTTTTAGCTAACTCTTGCCACAGTATTTATTGATATTCCTGAGTGATAAAGCTAGTGATTTACAAATATAGGCCTTCTTATAACAGATGGAGAAGATTATTATGTCAAAGACATAATAATGTCTTACTGTGGGAAACTTACGTCTGAAATATTTTGTGTAACATTCAGCATTTCAATTATTTTCTCTAAAACTTCAGTCCTGTTATACCATCAAGGCTGCTAAAACTTTCTGTATGAGGCACAGGCAGATCACATTGTAGTAGTGAAGAACTTGGCATCATTCTGTATTATCATTAACTATCCAGTCTTGATTTCTTCTAAAAACATGTGAGAGTGTGTATATTACAATAGAAAATCTCCAAAATGAGAGTAATATCAGTTGCCATAACTTATACTTTTAATGCAAGTTTATTACTTAATATTTTTTAAAAATATATAATTTGTATTTAATGATCTTGAGGATGAATACTATTTTAAAGCAATCTTCAATTTGAAACAGTTTTCAAAATACTTACACAGATTTATATACTAAGACTCCAAATTTATCAAATCCCAAATTAATGTTAATCCAGAACACTTAATTCTCTTATTAATGTATCTTGTTTTCTTGCACAGGAAAAGCAAGAATTTGTTTCAGCTGATACAAGTGACCTAGAGCAGAATCATTTTTCTATGTGCTCTAATTTTCTAAATGTTTGATAATCACTTCCTTAGAACTACTACTAATGCATTTCTAATTTGCATCTCTATTAATGAATGCTTCAGGAAAAGTTGGAGAATTTTGAAAATACCGGTAAGAGGCAAAGTAATGATTTCAGCATTATCCCAAGTTAATTTAGAACCACATAGGTATGAGAGTATTATTTTAAAATACATATTTACTGAACTAGTGTTCCTGAATCAAATTTGTTTTGCACTTCTACTACTAATATGTGGGTTGAATGAAATGCTTCCACCCTCTTTAGTTTAAATAGGGATATTTTAATAAATAAAGCAAGAAAATAATCTCTGAAATGAGATCTTTATTTATTTTTTGACCTAATCATCACTATTCTCTACATGCTTCTGTCAATAATGGACAAACTTCTGAAAGCTGTCACACAAAAAAATCACACTTTGGTCTCTTCAACCAGATCCTCATAGTGCTTTCCATCTCTTCATTTGAGTTAAATAGATGCCCACCAAGGTATTCCTTCAATTTTGGGAAAAGGCAGAAGTTGTATGGCACCAAGTCTGGACTCTATAGTGGATGGGGTAAGACAGTGTAATCCAACTTTGCAATTGCCTCTTGAGTGATTCATGAGATGTGAAGTCTAGCACTGTTATATTGGAGCAAAATTTCCTTTTTGTGCTCCCAAATTTTGCTTAATCATTTAAGTTTTGAGCATTGCAAAGTAACACTATGAACTGATAGGAGTGTCAGGTTCAAGGAAATCCATGTGAATAACACGTTCTGTGTCCCCAAAAAAGGTAACTGTGACTTTTCTTGTCAAAATTTGGTTTTTGATGTTGGTTCCCCCCCCCACAGGTGTGAAGTTTTGCATTAGGACTTATGCTTCATTTATTATTTTTAAATTTTATTTATATAGCTGCCCATTTCACAAAGTAACTCTGGGCAGCTTAGAGCAGAATAAAAAAACAGTACAAAACATGATGTAAAACAGAACATATACAGCAGCTGAGACACCAAACCAGCCTAAATAATGTAGCACATCATGGTTTCCCACTAGCATTCTGATCCCATGCCCAGAAATACAACCATATTTTAAGGGCCTTCTGAAAGGACAACAGGGTCGGGGCCAATCTAATCTTGGTGTTCCATAGGGCAGCGGCAGCAACTGAAAAGACCTGTGTCCTGCAAGATGCCATTCTTTGACCGATGGGATCTGCAGCTTTGTTTCAGGGTCAAAAGCCTGTGTTTTGTTGGCTGTCACAATGATGTGAAGAATTTCCCCATTTTCATTCATTTTGCATGATAACAACTGCTGAAAAATTTCAACTCTTAAAACGTTCATCTCTTCTATCCACATGTGAGGAGCCCATCTTGCATAAACCTTCCAATATTTAAGAACATCAATAACATGATCCACACATTCCTGTAAAATTCCAAGCTTGACAGCAATTTCACTGGGCCCTACCCATCTCAATAGATCTGGCAGTATAGGCATATTACAGATAGGTCTATTCAGAGTGCTATCTGGCAGGACCCAGAAAGAGAGCCTTTTCAGTTGTGGCACCTACTCTTTGGAACATCACTCCACAAGAGATTTGATTAGCTCTGATCCTGTTGGCCTTCTGTAAGGCCTTGAAGATGTGGCTATGTCACTAGGTTGGGAGTCAAAATGTGGCAGAACCTGTGAGACGGTTATGTTGATTGGTGTCTGTGGGTTTATCTTGGCTGCCAATTCTGCACTTTTTTTGGTGGTGTTTATTAGGTTGGATTTCAACTGATGTTAGCCACTCAGTCATTATGATTACCATATATATTAACATAAATAAATAGTTACATAAATGAGATGGTGACTATAAATCCCTCTGTAGTGAGATGGGTGGTGACAAATTTGAAATATATATATAAATAAATAAAAAATATGCAACAATGGTGCATTCGAATATCTGTAAGAAATACCATTTGCCTGCAAGCAAGAACTGGTAGGACCACAAAACAGAAAAAGTAATAGAAAATGAAGACGCTAAAGTGCTCTGGAACACCTGCCACACAACACCCCAGACTTAATAACTGTTGATAAGAAAGACAAAAAATCTGGATAGTGGACATTGCAATACCTGGAGACA